GCTACACTGGAAGGGACTGAAAAGGGGGCTTGTGTCACACAAGACCCACGGCTAGATGCCTTAGGCAACAGAAGAGTACCAGATGGTAGCAGGATGAACAGCCACTCTGCCAGTCCAGGATGTACCCTCTGCAGCATCTGATGTCTTGGCTCCTGGGCTCTGAGGGAGAAGGCCTGTCTAGACAGGTTGCAAAGGCTGTTTGAAGACAGCTGTTTGCAAGAGAAGAAAAAGAATCAGCTGAACTTGCTGAGTTTAAAGCGGTCAAAGAGATGGAGAGATGGAGACTTAGGGTGGATAGAGACAGATGCCCAAAAGGAGAATGCAGAGGCTGTGCTGAACAGGAGGAAAGAGAGTGGGGTAGGGAAGCCAAGGTGAGGCTGGGGCAGACAGTGAGCAGCCCCATGGATGGCAGGCTGGAAGATGGTGGGGGGCTTTAAGGGGAAGTGGGGTTGGGGGGCCGAGTGGCTCAATACTATACCCTAAGGACCAGCTGTCTATCTGAGATGGTACCAGAGACCTTGGATAAGATGACAGAATGCAGTGCAGACCACTGGATAAAACAAGAGTGAGGTGGGAAGGTGGTTTGCAAGCTTCTCTTGGATAGGGAGGAGGAGACCTGGTCTACTGACACCAGAGGAAATGAGGCCTCTTCAGGAGTGGTCTCCACCAGGCCTGTTGCCTGTGTGGTGACTTTGGAAGAGCTGGTGGCTGCAGAATCTCTCCATGACCTGGAGCTCAGCATTAACTAAAGCACCAACTGTGTCCAGGTCTGCCATCCAACGGTCAGGTCAAGTTGCCAGTTTCCCATCCGTTTCCAAGGTGCCTCCAAATGCTGAGTCTCATTCTGAATCCATCAGTATCTAGGATGCTGTGACACACAGCCTGAAAGAAGGAATTTAAGAAGAGTTTCTACAGCAGAAGGGCCAGGTGCTGGCATCTGGTGTAGCAAAGAGAGAGCTGGCACACCCAACTGTGGGCAAATGTCCAGAAGGAAAGCAGGTTTCTCCAGGGAGCCAGGGCATGGAGCCAGACTGTAGGCAGACACACCCTCGCCATGCTGACTCAGGCATCCTGGGGAGACAGGAACACGCCTAGGTTTTGGGGAAGCTGACGTTTGTTCCAGGCTGAGTCTGCCCATTGCGAACAAATAGGATTTGCATTCGCTGCAAATGTCTGAAAGAGCTGCTGTATTGTACGGGGGAGGGGGAAGGACTGGGAAAGCTTGTTCAGGCAAGAAGAAACACAGCTGCTGTTCCACACCCACAACATCCATCCACCAACGTCAGAGCCTCGCTGCTGGCTGCTGATTAAAGCTCTCGGTGGCTGGGAGGCTCCTGCTGGGTAGAGTTACCCTGGGGGCAACAGTGGTTGGAGCCAGCAAGACCCTGGCTAAAAGGTGGCCATGGTCTCTAAGCTCAGTGCCCCCAGTTCCCAGGGCACTGCCCCTTTCATTCGAAAGTGCTGGTTATTTCCCCCAAATCACATAAATCTCTGAAACCAAGGATGGAAGAGGCAAAACTGAGAGATCCAGATTACTACATCAGCTTACCAAGATGCTCAGTTCCAGTGTCCAGAGAAGCTGGCTGTGTAGCCAGTCTCAGAAAGTCACATTTAAAAGTGGTGTCTGTGATCTGTCCCTCAGGTAAAATTCTTCCCTGACAGACTGCTGAAGGCTACAAATGGCATCGGTGCTGTTGAGCTGTGGAGTGGCCTTGAATCCCAAGGACCCTTGTACTGCACACTGGGTCTAGCCTTGGGAGCTTAGGGACAGGTATGGTTTGTTGGTCCTAAATAGAGGAGACTATTTGTGGTCAAAGCCCCTAGGAGCAGCCATCCCTTTGAGGAGTGTTGCTCCTGTCATCACAGCAACCCTGCAGGTGAGTGCTTCAAGCAGCCCCAGCTTCCCACCACAAGGCCAGGAAATAGTATGGTGTCTAGGAAGAGGTCTTGAGGCCCTTGAGCCTGGGGTGACTTGCATCTGCTTCAACACCATGGGAACCCACTTCCCTTCCTCAGAGGAGAAAACATTGCCTCACAAACACTACACTGGGGAGCCTGAGGTGGGAAAGCTTTGAAGATGAGCTGACACTTAGCGGGGCCCCCAGGCCTTTCCCAGGAGAAGGGGTTTGTAAGGCAGAGGGTATCAGGGTGAAGGTGCCCCTGGCCAGAATGCCCTCACACATTAAACTCTGGCAAAGGTACAGCGGAAAAGCCACCAGGCCCCCGTAAGGCTTTACTTTTGGCACTAGCATATTTCCCCAAACATGGACGAGAGCAAACACTCTAGCCTTTGATCTCCATTCTGGCCACAGGATGGCTGATGGATGACTGACAGGTCACCAGGGTGCCTTGGAGCTAAGAGCTGATAGGAGGAAAAAGGGAAAACCACTTCCCCCACCCTCCCTTGAAGGGCTGTATTGCTGATACACAGGAATGTAGACTGTAATCCTACAGAGACCTTTATAAGGCAAGAGACTGGGGGAAGGGGAGTGTTCTAAAACCACACAGGAAGTTCCAACAGAATAAAAGACCAGAACCCAGACATTTCAATTTCATTCCAAGAGTTTTGTTTCTTGTGATTCCTTGTGTCTTTGGCTTGTCTTACACTTACCTGTGGAAAGGGACTGGTTTTTACCAGACTATGCTTTAATGTGCAGAAGTGAGGGACAGCAGTGGCATTGTACAGTGATGGGTTAGCAGCTCAGTCATTGCATGTACAGATGTGTGCATGCACACACATGGGAGGAGGCCTGGATTGGGGCCCACAGGATGCTGTCCTGTAGCATGTACCATCCAGACAGGACAAGGTTACCTGGTCCACTCCCGTCTATAACCCCAGCAGGAAGCAACATGCATTAGTACAGGTTTTACACGAAGCAATGTGGCGTTTATTTATACTATGGGACCGACACCAGACTACACAGACAGGACCAGCAGGTGAGCCATGGCACCCCAGGCCTAACCCAAGAAGGAGCAGCAGATAGCTGAACCTTCCTGAGATGAACCAGGGGTTCTGTAAAGGGGAGTTAAATAGGGCTGCAAAGAGCTTGAGAGGAGCTCTTGGGAGGAGGCTGGACTGAGTTTTCTCTGACTGCATGGGCTCCAGCCTCCTCGTTCTCAGATCAAAGATGATTTGAAGTTAGACCCTCCCTCTGCATCTTAAAGGCTCAAAAAGTATTAGCAGCAAGAAGTCTGTTTCCAGGAGGGCCTGGTGTTCATTTGATTAGCCATCTGGTTTCTTTCTGGTACAGGCATGGGTTGGTTTTCCCATCTGGTGAGTGGCTGGTTCTCCAGCAAGGGTCTCAGGTGGGGACTCGCTCCTCCCCCAGAGAAACACTCAGATTTAAGCAAATTTTATTTCTCCCAACCCAATGATATTCAGGTGTTGGATGGAGGCGGCTCTGATGCACATGTAGTTACACTTACACAAATGTACGTGACAGACAATGGTAGAGATGCTCAGGTGGTCATGAAGCCCATACACCGGGGACACCATGGCATGCAGACACACAGGGATGCAGGGCAGAAGCACAGATGGAGGCAGGAGGCAGGGGCAGCTCCAGCCCAAGTGCAACAGTCCATATGAGCCCCAGGAGTTCTTGCTTCCTCCGACGGGGGAGGGGGGGCGGTTGAGGGGGGTGGAAGGAGACAGGAGTTGCTGGTGCTGGGAAAAGGGGGCTGGAAGGTAGTCTACCATTGACAGGGGTAGGAGGTGGGGTGAGCGGAAGGGGAGGTGGAGGGATGATGGGAACTTCAGTGGGATCTTCTTGTGATACGTCTTCCAGCAGAGCCCAGCAGTGCCCTCTGCTGAGCATGATGGGCTGGTACAGCTCAGAATAGGAAACTAAAGGAATTGAAGGGTGTTGTGTGTGTATCTGTGTGTGCGCTAAAATCTGAGTTTAGCAAGGATTTTGCACAAGGAGGTATGTGCATTTTTCTGGGGATGGCTTGTGTAGCAGAAAGTTCCACTGAACATACTTATCTTTCTAAATCCTCACTCAGCTCAAACATGCTCATGAAAGCATGGGAGATGGGGTGCATGAAGGATCTGCTGATCCTGTGGATCCCCAGAGCTACATGCTATAGGGGTCCATGCAGTGGTACAAACCGCATGCAGATTTCCAGCTTTCTTCTCAGTCAGCTGCTCCCAGAGCATCTCTCCAACCTGGTCCAAGCTGTCCAAGCTCTCTGCACAGGCCCACAAGGTCCAAAAGGACCCATTCCAGGTAAGGTCCTAAAGCACTATATCCAGGGCCACTGGCAGTCACTCTCTTTTGGACCCCTCAGCCAAGACTCTGGCTCACCCTCCTTTTCTACTAACTGGGGGCTGTTCCCCAGTACTGAGAGCCCTGGAGTTCTCCTTTATACCTGCAGCACCCCAAGTCTGTTCTTGCCTTAGAACCAGCTCCATATATAAACTCTATGACCCATAGCCAGGTCAGTAGAAAGGAGGGAAGGACTCTGACTAGGAAGAAACAATCTTCTAGAAGGGTAGGTAGCCCCACTTTACTGCAGAAAAATGCTTGTAGATGATGCAGACAGGACGAGACAGTCTATTGGTTCGTGTGTGTGTGTGAGTGTGTGTGTGTGTGTGTGTGTGTGTGTGTGTGTACATGAGTATGGATGGGCCCTGAGTTGAAAATGGAGTTAGAAGAAAGATGGGAAAAGAGACTGTGTACAAAAATGAATCATCTCTGTATAAAGTGTTACCCTGTGCTGATATTGATACATTTACTAATAACATTTATTACACTAGATAAAACCAAACTAGTAGAGTCATGTTGGTGGGCTGGTTTCCGGGTTGAAGGGAGGAGAGGAATTATCTATGAATTAAGAAAACCTAAGTATAAAAGTGACTGGTCTAGGGAGGCTTCTAGAGGGGCACACGGGTAGGATGAGGGTGGGGAACCGGCAGCACGCCCTGTCCTCGCCTAGAAGGGGTGAGCAGGCTCTGGCAACAGCGACTCCCAGGAACTAGACAAGCGGGACATGAAACTGACCGGGGATGTTCTCTCAGTGGCTGCACGGCGGACCTGGGGAGCCTCGCCAGCTGTCTCGCCTTCCTCCTCTTGATGCCTGAGGAGGATACAATCTTTCTTTAGTGACAGGTGCCTTCCCCCATGGCCCAGCGTCCCATCTATCAGCAGTTCAGAGTATGCACAGGGCATCTCCTGGCTCTGCTTCTCAGAGATGCTTAGCAAGGAGCTGCCCCAAGGCTTGATGGGAAAAGTGAAGACAGGTACTTCAGATATGAACACGATCCATGTGAGACAGCCTAGGGACCATATCCAGGGGTTCCCAAGGGAAAATTCGGTTCAGCAGCAGCCACTGCTGGCCACCCTTTTCTTCCTGGGCTGGGCTTTAGGCCTCTATGTCTGGCATGACATATCGGAAGCTCTACACATTCTGGGTTATGCTGACAAGGTACCCAGGAAAGGTCGAAGGAGTCTTGTTCAGGTACAGTTTCTTATCAATAGCTTCCTCCTCCTCCCCAGCCACGCCCTTTACAGCATGCTTGGCTTCTTATACATACAGACACAGGGCCAGTACTCACTCAGACTCCTCTGTAGGTCTCTCTGGAGTCTGGCGTTCTTTAAGCTCAAGCTGGTGAAGGAAAGGTAGAGGGGTCAGAGCAGCCACAAAGGGGAGCTACATTCTCAGATGACCTCTCTAAGCTTGGCCCTATACCCCAACATGCCCTGATGTTTGTATCCCAGTCACGCTTTTTGTCTTTGGTGTTCACACATCAATACTTTCTCCCACCTATCAACCCTCTTAATACCAACCTAGGCATCTGACAACTGGAAGAAAGTAGTGCCTCGGACCATCCCACCCGAAGGGACAGCTGTCCCCCTTCCAGCCCCCCAGATACCCTCAGATTACCGTGGTGGGCTTCTCTAGGGCAGCAAAACGTTCTGCCCAGCTGGCTGTGGACTTCTCAAAAGCCTCATGCCTCTTGATGAGCTTCTCCACGCTGTCCACCGTGTGTCCAAAGTCTCGGCTAGCCAGGTAGGGCTCTTGGGCAATCAGCCATGCCTCGGCCACAGAGGCGTCCCTTGAGAACTGGCACACCTCCAGCACTGCCGTGAGAACAAGTCACAAACCCACCCACAAGGCCCAGGGGCCTGTTAGCATTTGGTAGTTCATTGCTGCAGGGGTGGGGGTGGGGTGTAGTTGAGGGGGGCGCTCAGCAGATGCATGCAGGAAGAGCAGCCAAACAGGAAGTTGAGGTGTCCCTCAACCACATGGACACCTTGCTTAACAGTGCGCTCTTGCCTAAGGTCACTGAATTCTCATACTGGGATGCCACCCCATACATTTTATATATATATGTGTATATATACATATATATATATGTATATGTGTGTGTATATATGTATATATGTGTATATATATGTGTGTATATATGTATATATACATATATATAAAATATGTGTGAGTGTAATTTTGCTTACATATATGTAAAATTTTCTATCTGTATATTTTACTTTTATTTTTATGGTACTGGGGATCAAATCCAGGACCTGTGCATGTTAGGTAAACGCTCTACCACTGAGCTTCATCCATAACCCTTGGCTTTTGAGACAGTTCTCAGTATACAGCCCAGGCTGATCTCAATCTTCCCCCCTCCATCTCTTGAGTGCTGGGATTACGGGTGTGCACCATCATGCATAGTATCAGTCATATATATA